AAGTGGGAAAGACAGAGAGAAACATTGATGTGAGAGGAACACTTCGACTTGCTGGAGCTTGACTAGGGCCTGGGTGGGGAGGAGCTTGCAACCAAGGTACATGCCCTTGACCGGAATTGAGCCCAGAACCTTTTGGTCAACAGGCTGAGGCTCTATCCACTGAGCCAAACCAGCTAGGGCTATTTTTTACAATTTTAAATGTGATCTGTCTTATTATAGTTTCTAACTGGTTAATATTTATATACCTAAATATTACTTTATCACTTCTAATAGTCTTTTTTTGGGGGTGAGGGTAGACATACAGAATAGTGGATAAGGACATAAGCTCTGAGTCAGACAATCTAGGTTCAAATGCAGGTTTTAGCATGTCATCCTTGGTTAGTTATTTAAGCTTTCAGAGCCTTAATTTCTCGCCTGTGAAATGGACTCATAATAATGTTTTTGGTTGGATTGGTCTTGCATTTGTTCAGTCAGTGTTCTGTCCTGTCCGGATGCCGTTCTAGGCTTTGGGTTACAGTGGTGAACAGGCATCTGCTACGTGCCAGACATTCTCCCAGGATTGGCATTACAGCGGTGAACAAGATGGACAAGGTCCCTGTGCTCATAGACCCTTTCATTCCAGCAGATTATGAAGATTAATGAAGCCAACGAGTGTAATGTGTTATCATAATGCTTGGAACAGTCAGCACTATTAAGTGCTTACACCTGTGGAAATGTTAGCTATTATCATTCTTTTGTGTTTGTTTTTTTCTAGGTGTACAATGATGTAATTGCTGAGATAATAAGAAGTGAATTTTCCTCTTCTTTCCCAATACTTATTATACCTTTTATTTCTTTCTCTTGACTAATTGTATGTTTTCTCTCCTCCGATATAGTGTTACACTGGGCATCTTTGCCTTCAATTGGCAATGCTTATAGTATTCTACAATTAAACATGATAGTAGCTTTTTTGTTGTTGTTGTTGTTGTTGTTCCACTTATTCATGCATTTATTGGTAGATTCTTTTTTTTTTTAAATATATTTTTTATTGAGAGGAAGGGAGAGGAATAGAGAGAAACATCGATCAGCTGCACACCCCCTACTGGGGTACATGCCCTTGACGGGAATCGAACCTGGAACCCTTCAATCCGCAGGCTGACACTCTATCCACTGAGCCAAACAGGTTAGGGCAACATGTTTTTTATAGGACTCCCACACCTAGCAGAACAGTCAAGAATCTTCAATTCTTTAGAAAATCTACACTTTAGACTTCTGAGAAGCAAAATGCCTCTTGAAATTTCCAAACCACTAAAAAGAATCATTTCTTTGACTTAGGGGCAAAGGAAGGCTAAATTTTACAATGCTAAAACTGGATCTATTGAA